CCTCCCCAACCCTTCTCTGGCTCCTCTGATGTTAGAATGGCATTTCAAAATTATCTCCAGTATTTATTTGGTTTCAGAATTACAGACCTAAGGTGTTTCAAATCTTTTTGTTGCCAAAAATTTCAAACATACACAAAAGGAGAAGGCTGACCAGAGTGCTCCTTCGAGGCAAGGATGTGAACACTTCATCTTACATATTTTGGACATGTTGTCAGGAGGGCCCGGTCCCTGGAGAAAGGCATCATGCTTGGTAAAGCAGAGGGGCAGTGAAAAAGAGGAAGATCCTCAAGGAGATGGACTGACATAGTGGCTGGAACAATGGACAGGCACAGGAACAATTGTGAGGATGGTGCAGGACCAGATAGTGTTTCGTTTTGTCATGCATAGGGTTGCTGTGGGTCAGAATCGACTTAGTGGCCCCTAACAACAACAACAACAACATGAATAAAGATGGCCAAAGCACTGATAGATGAATGCTTTTTGTGTGTTTTCTCTTAACTTGAATAAGTACCTCAGAGGGGAGTGCTGGTTCCTGTGACAAGTGTATGTTTAACTTTATGAGAAACTGCCAAACTATTTTTCAAGGAGATTGGGAATTGCAACTGCTCTATTTTCTTTCCAGCAGTGGTCCTGTTCATTAGCCTCCCAATAGGCATGCAGGAGCACCTCCTTGAACCTCACCCTTTCCTACAGCCACATGGCACTCTGTTGCATATGTCATTGTTTCTTCAATGACTCCTCTACTGACTCCTCTTTGAGCAATTTTAATATTTTATCTTCTAACTAAAGTCATGATGAGTGTGTCATTCCATATCTTTATCGATTTTTCTTTGTGATAGAATTCTTGAAGATAGATTGCTGGGTCAAAGGTTAAATGTATATGTGACTTAGTAAGATATTGTCCAAATTGTCATCCATGCAATTTATATAACTTTGCATTCCAACAATAATGAATGATAACACCTGCCTTCCTGCAGTCCAAATAACCCAATATTGTCAACTTTTTCTTTTTTCACCAGGTAGTTGATATAAACTTAATTTGCATCTCCCTTATATTGGATAAAACCAAGCATCTATTTATGTTTTCCATATTTTCAGTAATTTTTCCTTCTCAATCTTAGGAGCACTCTGTGTATGAAGAATATTGGTATTTTGTTATATAAGTTGCAGACTTTTTCAGTTTATCAATTACTATTTGGATGAAATAAAAAATTTTCTGCAAAGACTTTTTATTTTTATGTAACCTGATTAACAAAGTTTTCCTGGATTTTGTGTCCCAAGTAGAAAAGTTGTCCCAAATTTTGGCTTATGAAGAACTTCATCATGTCCTCTCCAAGTAGATTTCAGTCAAACCATCCAACTCCTTTCAAAGTTATCAAGAAACAGGCAAAAAAAATGTTTTAAATGCCAAAGTGCATGAAAATACATTCCACTGCAATTCACAAAGCATCACTTTATTTCATTTTAATAATTGTTTCCAGCGAAGGGGAAAAAGAACAACACCAAGATGATTGATGTGGAACTTGGGGCAATTATTGTCATAGAGCCCAGATGAGAGCTTCAAAGTGGCAGGGGACACAGGGACAAGCACACAAGATTGAAAGCATAAAAGCAGATTCTCATCAGGACCAAGCAGTCCTTGTTGTTTGAGGACCAAATGAAATCGTCATTAATGTAGGTAGAATCAAAGTTCACGATCTGTAAGTCTTTCTGCAGGTAAGCATGGTTCAGCTTATTCACAGTTCGAGCAAAGGCATATTTAGAAGCACAGCTATATGCTTCCAAACTGTACACTTTCTTGAAGTGCAGATCAAAAAATGGATTATCCTGGAAAGGGAAAAATAAGACATAAATTAGCTCGTAGCCAAAGAAGTAGCTGCTTTTCCTGAATTCTCTTAAAGTCTCTCATATCCACTTATTGATGGCAAATGGGTCCACATCAGCCATAACACCTAAAATCTACAAGTCAGCTTTCTGAACTGACATCCTGCAAACAGAGTTGCCTCTAAGAAAATAAATCAACACCAAGAAAGATGATCTTTGTAGCGACTGCCTTTTTTTTTTTTTGACATTCTTTATTTTAAATATTCAACACTGATTTTATTTTCTGAAATTTTATCATTTTTTTAACATTTTATTAGGGGCTCATAAAACTGTTATCCCAATCCATACACACATCAATTGTGTAAAGCGCATTTGTACATCGTTCCTCAAAACATTTTCTCTCCATTTAAACCCCCGACATTAGGTCCTCGCGACTACCTTTTTTACAGCGGTACAAATGCAGCATGTCTTGGGCTGTTTGGTTAGGTGGTGATTTGGAGCGGATGGGTAGGGAGGGAAGGGGACAGCAAACCCGCTGTCCTGTCAACTCTGACTCATGCCATGGACAGAGGAGAACTGCCCCGGTGGCTTTCCAAGGCTGTAACTCTTTCCAAGTCTCATCTTTCTGACACAGAGGGGGGGTGAGAGGTGGGGTGAGTTCAAATTGCTGGCGTTGTGGTGAGCAGGTCAATACATAACCCACTATGTCACTGAGCCCCCGAGTACGTCCAGTTATAGATCATTCTGTATAAAGAAATGGTTTGTTCCTGAATCTCAAAACATAGTGCGACTCCAAACACACACAGGGCAGGATAGCTAACCGACTTTGGCATACTGTAGACCCCCAACTTGCTGTCTCCAAAGCTAATAACAAGAAATTGCCTTTGAAGGTAAGAGCAAGAAAAGTTTAACAAGAATCATTAAATCACTTCATTGGAATTGACAAATTAAAG